GCCGGTCGCGGGGGGCTCTGGGCCTGCCGTGGGTCTCTTCCTCCAGACCGCGGGCCTCCTCGCTCCAGGGTGGGCGCAGGCGCCGGCGCCGGCGCGTCAGCTGGTGTCCTAGGTAACGCGGCCCGCGGCGGGCGGAACCACGTGGGCTGGCGCTGCGGGGGAGGCTGGACACAGCTTCCAGTCGCTGGGGCCGCTGGCCGGCCGGGTTCTCGGACTCGGGGCTGGGAGTGCTCGGTACCTCTCTCCGCTGGACTCGGTGCTGTGGGGCGGGGCGGCCTGGCGAGGCTCAGGGTGCGCCCTCATCAGTTGCATGTCACCCCCCCCCGCCTTGACACTTGGTTCGGCCCGGGCTGCTAGTTGCTTAGGCATCTGGGGCTGCTTAGGACTCGGCCTCCGCCCTCTGCCCCTTGACCCTGAGCCCCTCTGCAGCCCCCCAGCTTAAGGGGGGCGCGGTACCTACAGCCTTGACTTTGCTGAGTCCCCGGCGTTGCTTGTCCCCTACTTGGCGTCCCCAGCGGCCTTCCGCCACCCGAACCCCGTGGGGACCACTGCTGGCTGCCTGTCCCCTGCTGGGTGCCAGCCCTGGGCTGGGTGCCCATCTCCTGTGGGTGCCCATCCCCTGTGGGTGTCTGCCCCCTGTGGGTACCGCCTCCTACGGAGATCTCCGGGCTCCCTGGCCCACACAGGAGGCCACCCCGCTGCCTGTGTCCGGAGTCCCTTCCCTGGAAGGCCGCCTGCCTTTACCCTCTGCTGTCCTGCCAGCTGACCTCCTGACTGGCTCCGAGCTCACCACCTGGCCCCTTTCTGTGGCTCGAATGCTCACTCTCCTGCCTGCTCCTCCCTCAGACTTGTAGGCCCCACCTGTGCACATCTCCTTCAATGCCTGTCTCCATAGACACCGAGTTCTCAGACCCAGTCCTTTCTGGGCTGCACTGTCTGGTTTTGGCTGAAGCATGTGCAGGAAGTCCAGCCTCAGCTCATGTAGTTAGGAAAGGAGGACTGGAGATGCGGCCTCTGCCACCGCAGTGTCCCCTCCTGTCCCTGGTTCCCATAGGTCACAACCATGTCTCTATCCCTGCTAACTTGCACCCTGTCTTCCTCCCCCCAGATACGTGCCATGAGGGCAGGGAGCTTGCCTGCTGTGGTCAGCACGGTTTCTCCAGGGCCTGGCACGTGGTAGGTACTCAAAGAATATTTCCTGAACGAGGGAATTCCAGGCCGTGCTTAATTAGATCTCCACTTACTCTACAAAAAACTCTACAAAGCTTTTGGTTCTCCGTTATTCAAGATCTTGTTCATTTCTGGGGAGGAAGCGTCCCTGGGCCTGGACAGCTCCTCCCGGCTCCTGTCCCTCCCTTTGCCTGGACTTTGGCCCAGCTTACCTCTTTAGCTCCTGGGTTCTCTCCTCTTTCCCCCCTGTCCCTGCTTGCAGCCCCCCAGAAAGGAGGCTGGATCAGGCTTGTCATCTCTGTGCTGCTCACTCACCCTTTGTCTTTCTCTCCCACTGGATCTTTAGATCCTTGAAGTCAGGGCCTTGGTCTTCACCACGTGTGGCCAACACCAGAACAGGTGTTGCTAGACATTTGCTGAGTGGGGGCTGCAGCAGCAAAGACCTCAAGGCAGCTTCACAGCCCCCTCACTGTGCAGGTGGAAAGCAGATGCAGGGAGGGTGAAGGACTCTCCAGAAGTCAGAGGGAGCAAGGATCTGCCCAGTGCTCTCGAACTGCATCCCCTGGGGCCTCCTGTCCCTTTGGCTCACCCTGCCCGGGATGACCACTGCCTCCATTTCCCAGCAGGTTTTTTTGTTTGTATTTCCCATTTCATCAAAGGATATTAAAAATACAGCCCGGCCATTGAGGCTCAGTGATTGAACTTCGGCCCAGGAACCAAGAGTTCACTGGTTCAATTCCTGGTCAGGGCACGTGCCCGGGTTATGGGCTCGATCCCCAGCAGGGGTCTACGGGAGGCAGCGGATTGATGATGTTTCTCCCTCATCAATGTTTCTATCTCTATTCCTCTCCCTTCCTCTCTGTCTAAAAATCAATTAAAAAAAATATTTTAAAAAATGAATATACTCAGGGTAGAGAAGAGAGAAATTTTTCACTCTTCAGTTTCACCAAGGGCATCCTTAAGTGGAGCCAATCATTTTTTGCTGTGAGTGGTGAGGAGCAGAATGACCAGCAGGGCCTTGTCCTCTGGCCCCAGGGCAGGCTGAGTCCCACAGCTGCCCACCATTGATTGCCTCGCTCCATCAGCACAAGTGTCAACACAGTGAAAAAGACAGATTTCATCTGGATATTATGAAAACAGCTTTGACTTTGTAGAGCCCTTGACTAGCCTGGGGAACCTCAGGGGTTTGGGGACCAACCTGCTGCTGTTCTCCTTGCTTGTCATTTAGTGCACAGAATTCAGCCCCTTGGTAGAGCCAAGATGTTATGAATCTGTGTCAACTGAAAAGAATCTTGGGAAGGTTTAGATCCCTGTTTGACTGGGAGGCAGGTAACATCCTTAGTGAGCCAGGTAACACTCAAATCCTGTCCCCAGCTGGCTTAGCAACGAGAGATTTCCTGTAGCTGAGCTGTCCTGGGTGGCTGGGTCCACTGATGACACCCGAACCCACTGGCCCTTGCTCTGGTTTCCTCTCTGCCTGCTTTCTATGTGTGTCTGAAGGTAGGTGCTCCTGTGCTGGCCCCTGGCAGCTTCAGGCTGATGACCTCTGCTCCAGGGGCTGCAGAGAAGAGTTTCACTCTCAGCAGAACCAGTAGAAACTCTGAGATTTGTATCTCATGGGCTCTGACTGGGTCATGATCCCCAATCCCACCTAAGACAGCCCTAGTCCCCCAGGCCTGGTTCCCTTGTGCATGCTCAGCCTCTGCAGCTGTACAAAGCAACCCTGTGTGTGTCTGTCCCTGAACCAGTCACCAAGGCCAGGATAGTCATGCTCCAGTCAGCTAATGAGTGGAGGGGCGGAGAGGTTCTCTGGAGGAGACTGGCACCTTTGCCAGGGGAAGGTGGTGTGGGTGCCAGTCTGCCGTCCTGGGGTGTGGAGGGTGGGATTGCAGAGTATGGGTTTCGGGGATGCTGGGTCCTCTGGGATTCAGTAGGAGGTAGGAAACTTCCAGAATAATTGCTCTGAGCACTGTGGCCTTTATAACTTTTTTATTTATTTGAACATGAATGGTGCAGGTGATCCTAGAGGCCCACGTGACCCTCTGACAGGCAGAATGCATGACTGGCAGCAGATTTTTGACCAAAACGTGCTGGTCCCTCCCCATCCGCACAGAGCACGCCAGCCCGTGAAGGAATCGACGGCCTTCCAGTGTGTCCTGAAGTGGCTCGATGGGCCACTAATTAAGCAGGTAAAGAAACTTGCTACTTATTGTCCAACACATGTGGTTACTGCTCTCAGCTGGGAGGCTACTGATTTTCACTTATTTATTTGAGTCTTACCACTGTTCCCATTACCTTGGGCCTTGGCAATATTGGGAGGCAAAGTGGCCCATCAGCAAAGAGAATGCATGTTTCAGAGACCCGGTCGGCATTTTTGACACTGGGTAGAGGTTTCTTTCTGCCCGCAGTGGAGCAATTTTGAAACCCAGTAACAAAGGGATATAATACCAAAGCAGAACCTCACTGCAGGTGTGTGGCTCTGGGAAAGGGCCTGTCTTATAGCCTCTGGCTGCTTTGTATTTGTGGCCGAGACTTCTCAGTCCTCAAAGATCTGCTTTTCCTTTGCTAATACCATCCCAAGGCAATCCCTGCAAGTTGAGGATTTAGAGTTTGTGGTTATCAGGAAGGATTCATTTGTTTGTCCATGATGGAAAACCCACCCAAAATAGCTTAAGCTAAAGGTAATTTATTGCCCTAGCCGGTTTGGCTCAGTGGTTAGAGCTTCAGCCCTCAGACTGAAGGGTCACAGGTTCAATTCAGGCCAAGGGCACATACCTTAGTTGCAGGCTTGATTCCCGGCCCCAGTCAGGGTGCGTGAGGGAGGCAATGGGCCGATGGGTCTCTCTCACATCGATGTTTCTCTCTCTCTGTTTCTCCCTCTTTCACTCTTTCTAAAAAATCAATGGAAAAAAATATCCTGGGGGGAGGATTAACAAAAAATAAATAAAGTTAAAAAAATAAAGGTAATTTATTAACTCACACAATAGATAAACCCATAGTGATCATCAGCTTCAGGTGTGGCTTGATCCAGCCACTCATGTGATGTCACCTGGACTTCTCTCTTGGCTCCACGTGGTGTCAGATGCATCTGTCTCTGCAGCCCCAGCCTCTTGTGTCTCCTTGGCTCTGGGTGCGCCTCAAGCCCGTGTTTGTGCCCCGGGGACTTCTGTGTTCTGAGAAGTAGTTCCTGGAAAGGAAATTGACACCTAAACAAGGGGGTGGGTGCTGCAAGGCCAGTTTTACCAGGATTCTCATCAGCACCTGTGTGGTGGCTCCTGACGTTGAGAACCCTTCCGGGCTGACCCCTTGTGTCTCCTAGGGAGTGCTGGAGGTGCTGTCGGACGTGTCGTGCCACCTTCGCGTGTCTCTCTTCGACGTCACCTACCGACACTTCTTTGGGAGGACGTGGAAGAGCACAGCGAGACCCGCGGAGCCGCTCTCGAGGCAGCCGTCCAGGATCGTCTTTAATGAGGTGGGCGGACAGCAGGTGTTCGGGGCCCAGGGGCACACCCTGACCTGGGGAGATGAACAGTGCGTCTCAGACCCTAGGAATGCCTGTGAGCCACAGACCCAGAATCAAAACGCTGGTCTTAGGGTGGGCCCTCATTTCCAAACAGAATCTCAGGTGGAGGCCAGGTGTCCTCAATGGATGAGTGTTCTGCTCTGGCCGGAGCAGTGGGAGGGTGGTGGTGGTCGTGTGGTCTTGTTACCTTCAAGGAGCCTCGGGATGCTTGGGACAAAGTTAGGAAATTCTTGATCTCATTCAGTCACCCATTTTCCCTCTCGTATCCCCTCTCCCTCCCCTTGCTCTTTCTTTCTGCCCACAGTGGAGCAACTTAAAAACCCATGTAATTAATCTGATTTCCTGGGTTATTTCTGAGCCAGGTTGTTTGCAAGAGGTGGCCTTGTGCACAGCTCAGCACGGCCCGCTTTGGGCCGGAAGTGAGAACTGTGGGGGCAAAGCCCTGGGCAGCCTGGCCGAAGCCCTGGCCTGGGACGTACCACAGCCTTCTGCCCACTTGAGCCCTGGCTCTGGGCTCTGCATCCACCTGTGCCTTCAGCTGGCAGGGAACCTTTCTTTTAAGATAAGCAAATGGCGACTTAGAAGTAAAGTGACCTGCCCAGGTAGCAGGTGGCAGAGCCTGGACTCGGGTCCTGATGTGCTCGGCTGCTGCAGGTGATCCCTGCAGAATCGAGGGCACTGTCAGAGGCAGCCCTCAGAGCCCCACACCTCCTTATGCGCTGCCCGGGGTTCAGCATTCGTGCTGGGGGTGAGGGGCTTCTGTTGTCACTCAAGTTGAGTGACACTTCAGCTGTCACTGCATCCAGCTCACAGCTTAGGTCCGAGTAAGGAAAACCGAGGTTGGGCCTTGGGTTCCTAGCCTGGCAGCCAAGTCTGCTCCAGCTCAGCCTCTGCCGTTTTCACCCGTCATGTTCCGCTGAGCTGGGCGTGGGGCTGGGACAGTGGTTAGTGAGGACCGTAGTCCTGAAGGCTCCTGGGAAAATCTGCACCTTTGTCTTGGAGTTCCTGAGGGGAGAACGCAGCCAGGTAGGTGTGGGGTGGGCAGAGCGCTTCTGGTCGAGGCAACGCTGAGCCAGGGTGGCTCCGGGAAGGCGGCTCTAGCTGCTAGGCCCTTGGCGAGCAGCAGAGGGCACGCAGGCCCCGGGAGCGAGTCCTTGCCCAGCACCTCCTGCTGCCTCGACATTCAGAACATGGAAAATCAGGTCTGGTCAAGTTCACTTAGCTCCCGAGAAGCGCCCTTCGCCGCGTGTGCACGTGCGCGCATGTGTGTGCGTGACGTTTGCACAGCGCGTGCTTCCCTGGTGGCGCTGATGCAGGAGGGCAGGGGGTGCTGCTCTCGCGGCTGCGTGACGCTGTGGGCTGCTCTGCGTGCCCCGGGTACGCAGAGATAAGTCCAACCTGCCCTTTTTGGAGGGGATTCGGGAATCTGGTGGATATCGCTTTCTGATTTCACTAGTTGCCTGTGTGTTTCTGGTTTACGCATCAGCTTGGGGTGATCGGATTGGAGGCTGCGGCTGCAGGAGCAGGGGGCCAGGCTGGGATTCGCTTGGCCACCCAGCTGGGCGTGGGTTCATGCATCACCCGCGCGCTCGGGTTTATTGAGTTGTCAGTGTAGGATGCAGCCCTGGAAGAAGCGCTGTTTCCTTACTTGGCCTTGACCCTGAGCCGGGAGCTTTTCTGTAAGTGATGACTTCCTGGCACCGGGCTCCGCTGGCAGAGCCAGACGACCCGCCCAGCCCCTCAGCTCAGAGCTGACGGTGGGCTCTCCTTGGAGACCTCCCCCTGCGGGGAGGGCGCCCTTCACTCCTGCCGAGACTGCTCATCATTCGGTCAGCCTCTCAAAAAGTGCCTTAAAAAGTAACCCGGGAGCCAGAGCACCGTGCGGCTTCTGCGTTTTCTCTCTGAGACGGACATAATTTTCCCTTAAGTTCTCCGCCTAGGCGCCGCTCTCAGCCTTCCGTGCCAGGCTCACTTTCCCTGCTTTAGCTCGTGAGGGCACCGGCAGGAACCCTAGGGTTCTCCACGGACAGGCGAGACCCCGCCCAGGGGGTCCTTCCTCCCCGAGCCCCCCTCAGCCAGGTGTTGCTAAGGTAACAGGTACATCAGCTGCCCCCTCGAGACACAGGTAATGGGGTTGCTTCCACTCCCCCTAACCCTCCGTGAGACGCTGACTCGAATGTTCCTCCTTGTCAATGAGAGCGATGTCATTTCCCTTTAAAAGTGGGGCTGAAGGGAGTGTCAGGAGAACCCCACGAGACCCCAGGGCGTCTTCCAGGACGGACGGGGCAGCCCTGCCCCTCCGCGCGGGCCTCACGGCCAGTCATGGTTCCCCTGTCACCCTCTGTGCAGCCACGGGAGAGACAGGAACCCCTCCGTTCCTGGGAGAGCCGCAGTGCGACCGTCCTGTCCCTCGGAGGATGGCCTCTTTCCGCCCAGGCTGGGGCTCCGAGCCAGAAAGGGGGTGGTGATAGATAGTCCTGGAAGGAGAAATGGTGTCTCTCCAGGATGCGTCCAGTGCTGGGACCTAGCTGCGTGGGGGTTTAACCGCCTGGCATTTGGGGCAGTGCAGGGGTTCATACCTGTCAGCATATGTTGTTGTGTTTACTCCAGTTCCCCGGGGCGGGGGTTGCCTTCAAGTGGTGACCGGTCTGCTTACTTTTCTGCATCAGCCAGTGACTTGCCTTTTGTCCGGAGTGGGGCCGCTGTGGGCATTTTCTTTAGGGTTTGCCGTAAGATGGACAGACGTCGGACATACAGGTGGACAAGGTGGCATGGGATCCCTTCAGCCCTGGCTGCAGTCAGGCTGTCGCTCTGGGCCAGGTTACCCCACCCTGGATGGCTCATGCGCTGGGCCTGGTGGTTCCCTGGGGGGCCGTCTCCACGGCCGTGCTGCTTGGTGTGGACAAGGGTGAGCCCCCCAGACGAGAGGACGCTTCTGGCTTTGGGATCAGAGAGAGTGCGTCGCCCAGAGGAGAGCTTTGCGGAGCAGAGCGCCCGGCTCGGAGCCCCCAGTCTCAGGGCTGCTTGTGTCCAGGGAGCCATCGGAGCTTCAGAGGGAGGCCGGGCCAGCAGGTGGAGGCGGCAGGAGTGCTTGTGAATTACTTGTCCTCCTGAAGATGGGCCGTTACAGGCTTGCGGAGAAGACCCCTCCGAGGGTGCCGGCTCGTCTGCTCCTCTCTTCCCCGGCCTTGTTGCTGTCCTTCTGCGTGTCACTGAGGGCGGCTCAGTGTCTGCTCCTCTCTTTCCCGGCCTTGTCGCCGGCCGTGGCTTCTGCGTGCCACTGAGGGTGGCTGAGGCGCGCAGCAGGGAACCCACGGCTGCCACCTCTCCATAGAGACAGGGCCTCAGAGGCCCAGTTTCAGTTCTGTCATGCGGGTGAGACATGGAAACGTGGTCCCGAGGCAGCTTGGAGTCAGTGCACTTTCAAGGTGACCTCTGACTGTGGGGTTATCGTTGCTTCGCGTCCGAGCCTGTTTCACGGCTGAAAGGAAAAGCGTGTAGCAGGGTCCGTCAACGCCACGCGCACAGGCACACACAGAGAAGGCGGGACAGTGACAAACTCGGCTGCACCGTGGGGCTTTAGACCAGTCCCGAGTCTCGGAAACAGAAACATAACTCTCCCTCGGTCCAGCCACTGTCAGCTGTAAGTGGCCATTATTTCATCATTTTGCAATAAAAGAGAATAGAAAAAACGATTTATACCTTGTGGGTGACGTTTTAATGTGTCTCTGTGTTATCCTGGCTGACAGTCTGTGATTACAGTAAACGTTTCCTGGTGACACGGAGGTGAAGGCTCGTTAACGGGATTATCCCAGGGCCCAATCACCTGCCCAGCCCTGCCCAGCCCCCTGGTGGGGGTGGTCTCTGTGCTCAGCGTGACCCCAGCACAGACGCTGGGTTCCCGGGGACGCTCTGAGTGCAGAGCCACAGCCGAGCTCCTGTTGATTCACAAACCTCCGTCTCTCTTCCGTGCCTGTGACGCGTGTGAGTTTTAAATAAAAGCAACTGCATTGGGCTTCACGAGACAGAAAGAAACAGCAGCAGCGTGAAGATGCTTTCAATTCCTGAAGGTGCAGAGGCTGCGATTTGGCTCCCCTGAGCTCAGAGCCAGAGGGGATGGAAAGGTTACGCGGGGAAAACCTTTGAGGAGCAATTTGAGTATCGCCTGCTTGGCTCAGGTCCCAAAGAATCTTGAAAAAAAAAAAAGATAACGTGATTTTTGTCGTAAAAAGATGTGAGTTGGCCTCTGAACTGGGGATAATTACTTAGCCCCTCAAGAAATGTGAGGATCCTGCTTAAGCAAAATCAGTTCGGATGCAGCTTTGTAACAATTCCACGTAAAAGGCTGAGAGTCAACATTGGCGGGTTCGCACTGACGCTCTGAACAGCGAGCGTTACAGGGTTACGTGAAGCGGCTCAGCAGATGGGTTTGCAGGGGCTTGTCCTGTCTTTATCTAGTGTCACGGGGTCCTGCCTGGGGGTGGGCCCCCCAGCTTCTGTCTTCTCTGCAGGGCCTGGCGTCTGTTGGCATTTTTGTGGATGGGAAGTTCCCAGAGCAGAGGCAAATGGTCCGGTGTCCCGGGTGTTGGACACCCTGGGGTGAGAAGCTGGGACTCCNTGGTGACACGGAGGTGAAGGCTCGTTAACGGGATTATCCCAGGGCCCAATCACCTGCCCAGCCCTGCCCAGCCCCCTGGTGGGGGTGGTCTCTGTGCTCAGCGTGACCCCAGCACAGACGCTGGGTTCCCGGGGACGCTCTGAGTGCAGAGCCACAGCCGAGCTCCTGTTGATTCACAAACCTCCGTCTCTCTTCTGTGCCTGTGACGCGTGTGAGTTTTAAATAAAAGCAACTGCATTGGGCTTCACGAGACAGAAAGAAACAGCAGCAGCGTGAAGATGCTTTCAATTCCTGAAGGTGCAGAGGCTGCGATTTGGCTCCCCTGAGCTCAGAGCCAGAGGGGATGGAAAGGTTACGCGGGGAAAACCTTTGAGGAGCAATTTGAGTATCGCCTGCTTGGCTCAGGTCCCAAAGAATCTTGAAAAAAAAAAAAGATAACGTGATTTTTGTCGTAAAAAGATGTGAGTTGGCCTCTGAACTGGGGATAATTACTTAGCCCCTCAAGAAATGTGAGGATCCTGCTTAAGCAAAATCAGTTCGGATGCAGCTTTGTAACAATTCCACGTAAAAGGCTGAGAGTCAACATTGGCGGGTTCGCACTGACGCTCTGAACAGCGAGCGTTACAGGGTTACGTGAAGCGGCTCAGCAGATGGGTTTGCAGGGGCTTGTCCTGTCTTTATCTAGTGTCACGGGGTCCTGCCTGGGGGTGGGCCCCCCAGCTTCTGTCTTCTCTGCAGGGCCTGGCGTCTGTTGGCATTTTTGTGGATGGGAAGTTCCCAGAGCAGAGGCAAATGGTCCGGTGTCCCGGGTGTTGGACACCCTGGGGTGAGAAGCTGGGACTCCCGGGGAGTCGCGTCCTGTGTGCCCGCTGTCTTCGGGCGCCTGGGAAGGGACGCGGCGCTCCACACGGCCATGCGTGTGGCGTTTGTGTGGCGATGGCCCGGGGGTGGCGGGAGCACAGCCGCGTCCTGCTCTGTGTCCTGCCCTGCAGGTGGCGGCATCCAGTCCCTCGTCAGCTTCCGGTTTGTTTCTGTTGCAGCCCTTGTATTTCCACACGTCCCTGAACCACCCGAACGTCGTGGCCGTGGTGGAAGTGGTCGCCGGAGGCAGGAAACGGGACGGGACCCTCCAGGCTCTGTCCTGTGGGTTTGGGATTCTTCGAATCTTCAGCAACAAACCAGAGTCGCCCCCCTCTGCCGCCCAGGACAAACGGTACCTGCCTCCCGCTGCCTCGTGCCCTGTCCTCGGGCTCCTCAGCATCCTCTGTGGTGAAACCGCGGCTCCTTTGGCCGTACTAGAAAGCGCACACGTCAGCTTACGTGCGCACGTAACAGTGTGCCGGGCGTCGCTGCTTCATAACTGTTGCAGCCCGGCCCAGTCCCATCGCCACTCCGGAGCCGGCTTTCTCAGCTGTGGCACCCCTGACGTGGGGCCGGACAGGTCTTTGCTGTGGGCGTCCAGCGAGTGTAGGGTGCCCAGCAGCGTCCCTGGCCTCTACCCACTAGCTACCAGTAGCACCTCCCCCATGGTGACCACCAAAATTGTCTGCAGGCCTTACCGAAGGTCCCCTGGGGGGCAGAATAATCCCTGGTTGACAGCCACAGGAATAGTTCAGTCACTGTCCTTCCTGGGGCACTGCAGTCATTGTAGGTGTCCCTGGTGTCACTTCCTGGGCCCAGGTCCTTGGGCTGACCTTGGACACGGGAGCTGGCGCTCTCCCGGCGCCTGTTTCCTGCAGGGGGCTTGGTCGTGTGGCGTTGGGGGGAAGCTCTAGGAGGGGTGGCGGTGGCTGGGGTCCCACATGCCCTCCTCTCGAGAAGAGTAGCTGACACTTGGAGCCTGGAGCGAGAGGCCCATGTTGACGTGTTTGGGGCTCCTGTTTTGCAGGTTGAGGCTGTACCACGGCACCCCCCGAGCCCTGCTGCACCCGCTGCTGCAGGACCCCATCGAACGTAAGAGACCCGCCTGTCCTGACAGCTCCCCCAGCACCGTCCACCCCGAGTCCATCCTGTGAGCTCCTCANTGGGGAGTCGCGTCCTTTGTGCCCGCTGTCTTCGGGCGCCTGGGAAGGGACGCGGCGCTCCACACGGCCATGCGTGTGGCGTTTGTGTGGCGATGGCCCGGGGGTGGCGGGAGCACAGCCGCGTCCTGCTCTGTGTCCTGCCCTGCAGGTGGCGGCATCCAGTCCCTCGTCAGCTTCCGGTTTGTTTCTGTTGCAGCCCTTGTATTTCCACACGTCCCTGAACCACCCGAACGTCGTGGCCGTGGTGGAAGTGGTCGCCGGAGGCAGGAAACGGGACGGGACCCTCCAGGCTCTGTCCTGTGGGTTTGGGATTCTTCGAATCTTCAGCAACAAACCAGAGTCGCCCCCCTCTGCCGCCCAGGACAAACGGTACCTGCCTCCCGCTGCCTCGTGCCCTGTCCTCGGGCTCCTCNACTGCCTCGTGCCCCGTCCTCGGGCTCCTCAGCATCCTCTGTGGTGAAACCGCGGCTCACTTGGCCGTACTAGAAAGCGCACACGTCAGCTTACGTGCGCACGTAACAGTGTGCCGGGCGTCGCTGCTTCATAACTGTTGCAGCCCGGCCCAGTCCCATCGCCACTCCGGAGCCGGCTTTCTCAGCTGTGGCACCCCTGACGTGGGGCCGGACAGGTCTTTGCTGTGGGCGTCCAGCGAGTGTAGGGTGCCCAGCAGCGTCCCTGGCCTCTACCCACTAGCTACCAGTAGCACCTCCCCCATGGTGACCACCAAAATTGTCTGCAGGCCTTACCGAAGGTCCCCTGGGGGGCAGAATAATCCCTGGTTGACAGCCACAGGAATAGTTCAGTCACTGTCCTTCCTGGGGCACTGCAGTCATTGTAGGTGTCCCTGGTGTCACTTCCTGGGCCCAGGTCCTTGGGCTGACCTTGGACACGGGAGCTGGCGCTCTCCCGGCGCCTGTTTCCTGCAGGGGGCTTGGTCGTGTGGCGTTGGGGGGAAGCTCTAGGAGGGGTGGCGGTGGCTGGGGTCCCACATGCCCTCCTCTCGAGAAGAGTAGCTGACACTTGGAGCCTGGAGCGAGAGGCCCATGTTGACGTGTTTGGGGCTCCTGTTTTGCAGGTTGAGGCTGTACCACGGCACCCCCCGAGCCCTGCTGCACCCGCTGCTGCAGGACCCCATCGAACGTAAGAGACCCGCCTGTCCTGACAGCTCCCCCAGCACCGTCCACCCCGAGTCCATCCTGTGAGCTCCTCAGTGCAGTCATTGCCAGCTCAGCTCATTGACTTAATAGACTTGGTGGTTTATCATGGGCTTGGGTTTCTGACATACTTTGGAGACTGGCCTGGTGGGAGGGCATTGCCTTATGAGGGTCACCGTGGGATAGGCGTGGCCCTGTGGGAGCGGCCTGGTGGGAGGGTAACAGCTTTGCCCCCAGATGGAGTGGCTGCTGTCCATCACTGGCCACTGCGGTCATAGAAAGCCACTGGCTGTGAATCCACAGGTCATCCCCAGCGTGCAACGCCCTCGGCTGTGTCTGACTGGAGAGCCCTCTGTAGGGACATCCACCAAGTGCGGAAGCTTTGGGCTCCTGTCTTGCGTGTGGCCCAGCAGCTGGGAGGGACGCTTGGCCCCCTCTGGCTGCGGCCACATGGA